ATTATCATTAATATAGCCTAATGTAAAATGTCACACACGCATTTAGATAGAAAGCATTGGAAGAGAGACGTAGCTAATAGACGCATAGGTCCCGTCAAGCAGGTTGGCAGGTTTGCGGGGTCGACAGATGTGGAGATACTACAAAGGCAAGCAATAAGGAATCATTAAATATTTAATGGGCTATAACGCGAGGTTTTGTGAGTCCCATCAGGTAAGCGGCGGTCAGCGCTGATGCTTGAACACCAACATAGGTGAAGGGTGCTAAAGAAGCTGGAAATAATAATATAACTATGAGTATCAACTGACGTGCTAAGAGCATAATTAAAGTCTTATTGCGGGTCAATTGAACCGGCATCCGGAAGAAAGAATAAGTCAACGAGGGAAGAATGACTATAATTATGGCGCGGAGCCAGTCATACCAACAGTCGTAAATTGGGGTGAAGCAAAGCGCGACGTTTAGCTAGAGGCTGCAGACAGGAACACCAGAGATAACACATGAGTAAGGGAAGTTTAAAGACCACCGTGATGCACCAACCTTCAGCTAAAATGCTGGAATAACTGACTAACTGCAGTGTTAACACTAAAGTAGTCATACGTGCATAATTTGGTTGGTTTACTGGTGCGATGCGCTTGAGCAGCAACGATAAATTCAGCTAAGTACTTCCATTATACATGTGGGCGGTACTGTGAAACTTGGTTCCATGTGTCGGCAGAGCTTTTAAGTCAGCATGTTTCAAGGGTTAACAGCAAGATTTCCGTCCTCCAGAATTGAAGCCGCACAATTATTATGCTAGCATTCGGCGAGTAATGTAGGTATGGCAGCTGGACAGGTACTCAGAAGTGGAGGACAGGCTACTCGTAAAGGTAACGAAAGGTTGCTTCAGCGCAAGGCCGGAATAGCCCTTAAGGTAGTTTAACAGACAACGTTGACACTTTAGCGTCCATGGATTTAAAAGTTACCAGAATAGATTAAAGAACTAAAACCGTTTGAAAGCTAAACGGAGACGCTAGAAGGATCATTCGATTCATGGTGCAAAGACAGTTGTGTTAATTGTCAAAATAGCACCGAAGCAATAGGCAGAGAATACGTAGAGTTTAAGGACACGGAAAGTAGAGCTACCCAGTGATTAAGGGAACGCCATAAAGTGTTTCGATGCGTCAAGGTTTTGGCTCTGCAGCTAGGTATAAGGGACCACATGCCGTGTTAACGCAATGGTAGTTGCACGTGGCTACTTCAGTTGATTTACTAGAGAGACGCATCAAAGTGGCAGCTGCATATTCAGCTAAGTAGGCTCAAGGAACATGTGTGCGATAGTTGACAAGTGTGCCACTAAATTAGCACAGCTTTCCTGTCAAATATAGTCAAGCGTTACCAGAAATCGTTCAGATATACAGGATTGTGGATAGACGAATCTAGTGGACACATATGTTCTGTCAAAATGGCTAGCCAGCTGGACCGGTGGTCAGAAGTTAATCTATTGCATAGGTAAGGAGAAGATGGCGGTTAAGGAAATGGAACGCGCTTATAATGTGGTTATGGTGGTTCTTCAGAGCTAAAGCGGACAGTGTTGACACTATAGGTACAATGTTAGTTGAGGTGCTAAAGAAGAGGGAAGTAATAAAGAAAGTTGAAAGATAGCCGGGCATGATAGAAACCTTCTTCAATGTTACAAGGTACATAAGGCAGACAGGATTGAGGCAGCCATAGTACGGAAACTGCTGGTGTAGGGAAACACCCTAATAAGCAGCTCCGTGTCGTTTTCAAGGTAGAGGTAAGAAAGTGCCAACTTTAATGTGCGCTGTTTCCGTTATGCCTAACGTCGTTTAGTCGCTCTGGTTAATTAGTGTCAAAGTATTTAGGCAGCATGCGATCACTTTACGGAAGAGACATGCGCGAAAGCTGGGTAGATCAGTAAACGAGGAATTATAACAACAAAGTCTGCAAGTGATCTGGCCCGGTGTCCTGTAGATTGGCTTCATCTGTGATGGTATTTGGTGGTTCAGTTTTGGTTAAAACTTTGAGGTACCTAATTCAAGCGGAGTGAACTTGAGTGGCAGCCTACGGCGCTCCTATTTTCACTCGTAGTACACATCTGTAAAGGAAAGCACTATGCGCTCTCGTTAGCCTGAAGGCGAACGGCCTACTCAGCAGAGGATACTCCTGAATGCCGATCTATCGAATAAATCCTAGATAGTTGCTACCCGTGCTGTTGATAATTTGAAAGAGGAACAAAATTTTTGTTTCCAGGCGACGTCGCCTGTAAGATCCTGTTTTTGTAACGTACGCTTTCCAATGTATTTTCGTGTTGAAGAAGTCAGTACTCGTTTGGTCACAAAAGCTGCACCTGCTTCATCGCTTTTCTGTTACCCTATTACGCAGTAAACAGCACCATGGCGCATTATTCTAAAATGGATCAATTACAAACTATAAAAGTGAGCCTAGATCATGTGACTGACATGGAGCTAAACATATTTTCAACTATTTACCTGGTTCTTGAAGTACGGTAGCTCACATGCTCACTGGTTAGGCGACGTTAATTAGCGTATCTTGGGTCCCGTACTACAACACTTTTGCCTAATTTGGTACCATTGATAGTTAGTGGTTTTGCAGGAAGGTTGCATCTGTGGCAGAAGGGTTTATATTTTTCTGAGCAGAATTCTAGATTTTATGTATTGCGCTAGCTCTCTAAGGACTTGAAACCAATTTGGATATAACTAATAAATACTTCTCGACAATTCGAGGCACACACACGGAGGCATGTTCAATTAAGTGCAGTTGTACAGATGTTATACTGCAATTGTAACGTGCATGATCAGCGCTTGTTCAGACGGCCATGGATAAACTTGTACAAACAGGACACAAATAAGAAGGCGGAGCTGCTGTGGTTTTGATTTCGGGCACGTTCGAATGGACATAGTCAACCTGTAATAAATTGTAGTTACGATTCAGTCACGAATAGATCAAGAACTGGACCTGGTCAATTAGAAATAAACTGGTGAAAAACAAGATTAACAGTGCCCACAAGATCAGCTAGATTGGAGCAAGTGTAGAGTAGAAATGAACGGCGAGTGCGCAGAAAGTAAGTGTTAACGAAACATGCAGATAGGGGTGCCAGAGCGCATATAGAGGGGAGGCCTATGGTCTTAGTCAGCTTGCCAATGTAAAGCAGTGGATTTTGACTTCATTCGGCGGCTGGTCACAAACGCCATATCGCAGTGTTGTTAACCGGCCAATTGTGGCAATTTATAGAAAACACACTTACCAGGCAAAAATCCACAACGTCCTGGAAAATTGCCATCCATTCATTCAATCGAAAAGCTGTAACTGGCTATGCTCCTTCTTGACAGATTAATGGTTCGGTTAATTCTAGTCAGGATGCGCTCATAATACCCATCGACTGATACATGTAGGCCGAGGGACTGTTTCTTTTCTTGCTCCACTCACGTCCTGGCAAAATGGCATGGCCTGTTGGTAGGTAAGCCATGATAAACAATATTGGAATACTATGTATTTGTCGTCTGTAGAACGGGGTATGTCACCCGGGGCATTTAAAATACCATGATATGGTACTATTAATGGAACAAGGAAATTGTTTGGGCCCAAATATTCAAGTCCAAACGTGAAGCAAGTTCTCCCGAATAAAGTATCGGAATTTCTCCCGGCTTAAGTTGTATTGTTTAGAAACAAGCAGCCACGTCCAAGTGGAAGGTACAAGTAATGGGAACTACACCAGGTCAGTAATATGTGATCAGTATGCTTCCAGTAATGAAAATGACCGAAGTTATTAGTTCTGGTCATAAAGTAAGGTAGCATTGTGTTGGGTTATTTTCAAATTGAGAACTAGCCTTAGCAGGAATATCTGCCCTTAGCATTTAGGCTAAACGCTCAAACTGACATTAAGTGCAAGCAATACAGGTCCGAGTAAGCATTATGAGAAGAAAAGACCAGCGGGACGCAATTGTCCAGGCCACAGTATAATGGCATCTATCTAAGGAAACGAATAAATAGTTTCTCCTTCCCGTAAGTAATAAAACAGCGAACTAATTAGCCATCCGTTTCCAGGTAAAGAAATAAGGTGCTTTCTTGAAGTGTTAAAAGCAAAGCAATGGACGTTTCCTTGGTTGCTGGCCACAGGTTCTGTGGAAAGTTTGGGGACCAAAGGATACAATATTGGCAGCCACACAAAAGACAGTAAAGTTGCATCTGGAACTCAGTATAAGTTAAATTCGATTGCCTTTGCTTGTGTTAGTGAACCTCACATTATATGCTTCATTATAAACTGAAAGCTCAAGAACCTATGTTCTATAATTTGTTTTTGGTTAGCCGAACCGTGATCGGTGACATCTCAGTGGACTAAGGAAAGTCGGAGAGCATGAAGCTGATCGCACGAGACTGTATTAATCAGAGTAATGAGAATAGGTTGTTTAAGTGAGTTGGAAAGGCGAATGGTTAGGGTCAGCAAATATTGGCTGGTTAGGGGTGGAAGGTGCTGTGTTAATAAAAAGTGAGCAAGTCCAGCAAGTTATTCAGGGTGCAAAAAGCCGTAATCTGAGTATGCAACGCTTAGATTATATAAGTTTCGGTAGTATGGATGCAGTCAGATAACGGAAGAAAGATCATCCGATATTCTCACAAAGCAGGTACTTAGTTGCCTGTCTAGTAAGCAATGCAATCATGACCACACTAAAGGCAGGACAGGGGAAGAATCAGAAAGGTATTATTGATATAGAGTAGAAAAGTTAACGAGGCTTTCAGTATAAGGTGAACAGTCTATTAGCTCAGCCACACCCTTACAGGCAACGTCTCAGAATCCAGAGTAAATTCACAGTGAAGAAGGACCATCAGGCCAGCATGGTTTACTCGGTGTCTTGGGATTAGTATGTACAACAAACTTGGGAAGAAGGTTATAACATTATGGGGTGAACAAGTATAGCTGCCTCCCAAGATTAAGAGAAGCAGCTTTGCGTCTGTAGAGCTTATGAAGCTAAATTCTGGGTAGCCGAGGAGAGGGAGGGGGGGGGGGGGGGGGGGGGGGGGGGGGGGGGGGGGGGGGGGGGGGGGGGGGGGGGGGGGGGGGGGGGGGGGGGGGGGGGGGGGGGGGGGGGGGGGGGGGGGGGGGGGGGGGGGGGGGGGGGGGGGGGGGGGGGGGGGGGGGGGGGGGGGGGGGGGGGGTGGGGGGGGGGGGGTGGGGGGGGGGGGGGGGGGGGGGGGGGGGGGGGGGGGGGGGGGGGGGGGGGGGGGGGGGGGGGGGGGGGGGGGGGGGGGGGGGGGGGGGGGGGGGGGGGGGGGGGGGGGGGGGGGGGGGGGGGGGGGGGGGGGGGGGGGGGGGGGGGGGGGGGGGGGGGGGGGGGGGGGGGGGGGGGGGGGGGGGGGGGGGGGGGGGGGGGGGGGGGGGGGGGGGGGGGGGGGGGGGGGGGGGGGGGGGGGGGGGGGGGGGGGGGGGGGGGGGGGGGGGGGGGGTGGGGGGGGGGGGGGGGGGGGGGGGGGGGGGGGGGGGGGGGGGGGGGGGGGGGGGGGGGGGGGGGGGGGGGGGGGGGGGGGGGGGGGGGGGGGGGGGGGGGGGGGGGGGGGGGGGGGGGGGGGGGGGGGGGTGGGGGGGGGGGGGGGGGGGGGGGGGGGGGGGGGGGGGGGGGGGGGGGGGGGGGGGGGGGGGGGGGGGGGGGGGGGGGGGGGGGGGGGGGGGGGGGGGGGGGGGGGGGGGGGGGGGGGGGGGGGGGGGGGGGGGGGGGGGGGGGGGGGGGGGGGGGGGGGGGGGGGGGGGGGGGGGGGGGGGGGGGGGGGGGGGGGGGGGGGGGGGGGGGGGGGGGGGGGGGGGTGGGGGGGGGGGGGGGGGGGGGGGGGGGGGGGGGGGCGGGGGGGGGGGGGGGGGGGGGGGGGGGGGGGGGGGGGGGGGGTGGGGGGGGGGGGGGGGGGGGGGGGGGGGGGGGGGGGGGGGGGGGGGGGGGGGGGGGGGGGGGGGGGGGGGGGGGGGGGGGGGGGGGGGGGGGGGGGGGGGGGGGGGGGGGGGGGGGGGGGGGGGGGGGGGGGGGGGGGGGGGGGGGGGGGGGGGGGGGGGGGGGGGGGGGGGGGGGGGGGGGGGGGGGGGGGGGGGGGGGGGGGGGGGGGGGGGGGGGGGGGGGGGGGGGGGGGGGGGGGGGGGGGGGGGGGGGGGGGGGGGGGGGGGGGGGGGGGGGGGGGGGGGGGGTGGGGGGGGGGGGGGGGGGGGGGGGGGGGGGGGGGGGGGGGGGGGGGGGGGGGGGGGGGGGGGGGGGGGGGGGGGGGGGGGGGGGGGGGGGGGGGGGGGGGGGTGGGGGGGGGGGGGGGGGGGGGGGGGGGGGGGGGGGGGGGGGGGGGGGGGGGGGGGGGGGGGGGGGGGGGGGGGGGGGGGGGGGGGGGGGGGGGGGGGGGGGGGGGGGGGGGGGGGGGGGGGGGGGGGGGGGGGGGGGGGGGGGGGGGGGGGGGGGGGGGGGGGGGTGGGGGGGGGGGGGGGGGGGGGGGGGGGGGGGGGGGGGGGGGGGGGGGGGGGGGGGGGGGGGGGGGGGGGGGGGGGGGGGGGGGGGGGGGGGGGGGGGGGGGGGGGGGGGGGGGGGGGGGGGGGGGGGGGGGGGGGGGGGGGGGGGGGGGGGGGGGGGGGGGGGGGGGGGGGGGGGGGGGGGGGGGGGGGGGGGGGGGGGGGGGGGGGGGGGGGGGGGGGGGGGGGGGGGGGGGGGGGGGGGGGGGGGGGGGGGGGGGGGGGGGGGGGGGGGGGGGGGGGGGGGGGGGGGGGGGGGGGGGGGGGGGGGGGGGGGGGGGGGGGGGGGGGGGGGGGGGGGGGGGGGGGGGGGGGGGGGGGGGGGGGGGGGGGGGGGGGGGGGGGGGGGTGGGGGGGGGGGGG